AAAGTCGGAAGTTTCTCAGTTTGAAACCGAAGATTGAAAGTAGTGGGAAGATGGGAAGTTGAATTGCAGAGGGAGGTTACTATTCAGAGTGGTGGGATAAATTTTTACAGTTACCGTAATTAATGAATAATTTCAAATTTCAAAATATAAAGCATGCAAAAGATTTTACTGGAAAACAAAAAGGTTGACGGGAAATAAAACAAGCGTGGGAGGCGCTCTGACACAGCTACCCGTAGGCGCGTGAGCCTAAGAGAGTAGTATATCGAAACACGGAAGGGTAAAATGGTCCGAGTAAAGAAAACTGTCATATCAGGGTTAGTTCACTAATTGAAGGTGAGAACTAGGGTACTTTCGCAAATTAACTCATAATTTAATTATCTCTATAACGTCACTTTCTTATTAAAATATTTATAACTATGAGCTGGCTTTATTAATCAATATTATATTCAAATATTTCATCTACTAAAATATCTATTAACATTATATATAGAGTGAGTATAGCTCGTAAGCTCACTACCATCAAACAATGCATGCCTCTTGGCTCTAAATCATAAGCTTATTTATGTATGATATTCTAAGTATTAATTACAAGAATATATAATAAGCAAAATTTGGAGTCAACGTGAAAAACATGAAAACACGTACCAGCTCTGTGGGTAAGACCCAAGAGCGTTTCTCGATAAGTCTCATATTCAGATGCATCAGAGTTCTCATCACCAGATCTATTTCTTTCTTATCTTATTAGAAAAAAATTCCTTCGAAATTTTACTTTCTTGATTAGTTATATCTTTCTCGTTATCATTTGGTTTCTTGGGTGTTTGAGAGGTCATATTTGAGTTATTTATTTATATTAGTATTCATATATATTGAAGAAAATGTCAAGAAAGCCGTGTTGTGTTGGAGAAGGTCTGAAGAAAGGGGCATGGACCATCGAAGAAGATAAGAAACTCATCTCTTACATCCACGAACATGGAGAAGGAGGCTGGCGCGACATTCCCCAAAAAGCTGGTTAAATATCTACGAAAGCATAAACATGTTTATTTAGTAATTGCTTTATGAAATTCTTATGATGATTATGGTGTCTAATTAGGGTTAAAAAGGTGTGGAAAGAGTTGTAGACTGAGATGGACTAACTACCTAAAACCGGAGATCAAAAGAGGCGAGTTTAGTTCAGAGGAGGAACAGATTATCATCATGCTTCATGCTTCTCGTGGCAACAAGTGCGTTTATATTTGTGTGTATGGATCCTCGAATAAATTATGAAATGCATGAAAAAAAAATCATATAAATTTAAAGATACAAGCATTATTAATGAATACTCTTTCTTTTTTTTTGATAAATGCATAATTAATCAATTAATATCTTCTCTGCCATGAAAAGCTTCTAAAACTAACTCATACTAATTCTTGTTGATTTTTTTTTAACGCTGATTTATTATGATAGTACAATTATGAGAAAGATCCATTGTTGATTTCTCTTATTGCCTTTAGGTGGTCGGCCATAGCGAAACATTTACCTAGAAGAACAGACAACGAGGTCAAAAATTACTGGAACACTCATCTTAAAAAACGTTTGATCGAACAGGGAATTGATCCCGTGACTCACAAGCCACTAGCTTCTAATTCCAACCCTAAAGTCATCACTACGCCGCTAGAGAATTTGCATTCCCTAGCTGCATCTAGTTCCTGCAAGCAATACTCCCGGTCAAGCTCAATGCCTTCCCTGTCTCATCTTACCAACAATGATGGGACACCAGTTCAAGTCGGTTCCTTGAGTCACAAGAAACGTTTTAAAAGATCCAGTTCTACATCAAGGCTTTTGAACAAAGTTGCCACTAAGGCCACTTCCATCAAAAAAATATTGTCGGCCTCCATGGATGGTAACTTGAGAACTACTAATGGCTTCTCTGAGCAAAGTTCCAACGTGTTCCTGACAAATACTCTCACCGAGTTCGATCCCTTCTCCCAGTCACCATTGTACAATGAGCATGAGATCAATGCTAATTCTGATCTCGGTATGGATCTAGGTTACGATTTCTCACATTTTGTTGAAAAGTTAGGGAGAGATCATGACCACAATGAGGAGAACAAAATGAATATGGAGTATGATCATGATCATGATCTACTTATGTCAGATGTGTCCCAAGAAGTCTCATCAACAAGCGTTGATGATCAAGACAATATGCTTGGAAAATTTGAGGGTTGGTCAAATTATCTTATTGACCATGCTGATTTTGTATATGATACGGAGTCTGATTCACTCGAAAAAGCATGAAACTTCACTTCCAAACAGAAAGGTTTCAGACTGTTTAAAACTTGCCTGAACGAGAATTATCTACGTGTGTATTAATATTTGGATTTTTTTTTGTTGAGTCCAAGTTTAGGGGTTGTATGATGTTAAATAAGGATTGATACACTAGAATTAGGGTTTCTCTGACAGTGAGAACATATATGCATGTAATCTCGCGGATCAATTGGTAAATGATTTGCGGAGGCAACTATATTATTAATTAAATATAATAAAGCTGGGGTTTTTTTTTAACAACATAACTTTATAAAGCTGATTTTCTTTATCGTGTTCTAATTCATAATATCAGTATAATCGTTTAAAAATAAAAAGTTAAACGTCCATTATAATCATCAATCATGCGCTCTCGTTTTTCTCATGCTTTTTTTTTATGATTAAATCACTTAGTGTTTCCATCTTTCCATGGCATGAAGGTGGTGGTATCTTTCGTTGGATTTGAACCGACCACAACATTCATTCTTTTTGATATACTGCAGAATACATAATAGTATAATTTTCAAGAAATTGAAAACTAGAAAAAGAAAAAAACTCAAATGAAAGAGACATTCCAAGAGAAGTGTATGTGTGGTCCATAAACAATATAGTTTTTTTTCTTAGACCAAAAAAACAATATAGTTTTTATTGGAAGAAAATCATAAACATAAACAGCATATTGAAAGCTAAAGATCAAGAGGTGAAGCAGATAATTATTCATAAACATAAACAGCATACTGAAAGCTAAAGATCAAGAGGTGAAGCAGATAATTGGATTTGTCACCCGACAAAGACTGTCTTGATAGATAATTGAATTTTAATAGTCATGTTATAATTATAATGTAAATTAGATCCACGCGCTTGTGTTAGTTTTTTTTTTGTTTAAACAAATTTAATATATACATTGTATATTGTTTAATGTTATATATTAGGAGTTTTAAATATTAATTTGTGTGGCCTAACTATCATTATTAAAATTGTTTTTTCATAGTTTTTCATAAGTGTCTTATAAATATAGACATACAGACTTACAAGCGAACGCTTCCACACGAACATATTAGTTTTTTTTTATATAAAACATTAAACCTTCTTTTGTCGGATTAATTTAAATGCATGGGAAGATTAAAAATATATATATTTCTAATAAAAATAATGATTTTTTGTTGTATAGTATAATAGTATATAATTTTATTGCTTCATATTTATATTAAATATTCAAATATATGTATAATTTTTACTTCATGATTCGTACTATGAATATTCCAAATGAATTTTTAAGAATGTATGTATCTTATTTTAAAATTTTGATATATTAAACTTTATATTATAAAATTTATTTAATGTCAATTTATTATTTTTAGAAATATTATTTATATACAGTCTTTTAATTTTATATAAAATAATATTTTATTTTAATGAATGTATTCATATATATATATATGAGAAAATAGACTTAATTTAATTTATTTCATATTAAACAAAAAATATGTCTTCTTACTATGAATTTTTGGAATGTATAGTTAATTCAAATATATAAATTATTTTTTTAAACAAATCAGACATATAAAACTTATTATTGAAAAATTATTTAATGTCATTTTTGTTTAACCTTTTATTTATATACAATCATTTGATTTTACATGAAAATTTGTTTGTTTGAATGAATGTGTTTCATATATATATATATATATATATATATATGAGAATGTAAATAGACTAATATGTTAATTTATTTTATATTAAATGAAAATATTTTTAGTATTTAAATTTGCAAAAGTTATTTTTTATAGATTATTTGAGTCTTTTAACCAATTTTTATTTCATCAAATAATTTGTATTAAGATTAATAAAAAACTAAGACCTACTATTTTATATTGTTTGGACACAAATTAGTTATTATATTTCTGAAAATATGGTTTGTAGTATAATTCTATTCTACATGATTACCTTTAGTGGATTTTTTTTAAAAATATATCATTTTATTTTATGTAGTATCCCATATAACTAAAAATTAGATGTTGACCCGCACCTCCGTGCAGATATTTGATTTAACTTGTGTTCAACGTAAATTCATAAACCGCTGATTTTGTAAGAAAATCAATATATATTTTTATGTTGTGTAATTTACATATAGAGTATAATATATTTTTTATAATATAGATGTTTGATAATATTTTTTTTCTTTGTACATAATATTATATTAAGAATTTTATAACTTGATGTAATTGTACTAATCATATATTAACCTGTTATTTTTTCGTTAATTAATTTTAAAATGAAATAATATACTAAATTTTTTTAATTTTTACATTAGTTTTTTAAGAATTATTATTAATTTTATAAAATTTTATTTTCTTCAAAATTGAACTCTCAAATTATTTTTTATTAAATTAAATAAAATAATAATATATTTAAAAATTGTTTTCTAGAATATATACTATATTGTAATTGATATTCCTATACTATCAATAATACCATCAGTTTTAGAATTGTAATTAATTAATTTAAATTAATTTTAAATGTAATGGTAAAATCTGTAAATAAAAAGAAATACTAAAAAAAAATACTATATTTATTGTAAATGCAGTGACTAAATATATAAATAAAAAAAATGCTAAAAAAAAATATTGCTATTCATGTTTCCAAACAATTTTTTATATATTCTTATCTTTGTTTCCAACAGTATCAAAAGGTATTTCAGTTTCAATAATAGAGATTTGGTTCAAATTAATGTTTGTTTTTTAAGAAGATAAAAGGACTGTATTATCAAATTATTGGTGTCAAAAAAACTATATATCAAATCACACTTTATATACTGGTTATGATTCTTCCACTTAATTATTACTACATATTTTGGATATGATTTTTTCATCTCCTTATGATTTATTTCATTACTACATTTTATATATTATCATTGTATTATCCATGAATACACCTTAACCCATAAAACATGAATATTATCTTAAATAATCCACTTAATTAGTGATTCAAAACAAAGAAAAAGACCATAAGAGTTTTTCACGTTTTATTTTCGGACAAATGATTATGTGAAATAGCCTTTTGGCCCACTCATCCACAATTATTTGGTGAAATAAATTGATTAATGAATTGTAAAATGGCCCTATGATCATGCAAAGAGGCACGAAAGACGAAACAATTCAATGTTTTGTCAAAAAAAAAAAAAAATACTAAGAGGAAAACAAATGCATGGTGCAAAGGCACATCAACACGCGCTCGACCCCATTCCCCTCGCTTCTGTCATAGATCCCTAGTTTTTATTACTGGTTAAACTAAAATTTTCCAAAGTAATTGTATACGTCACACACATAACCTTTTTGTTAACTATTTTAAATTAAATGTTAGATGATATTTTCAGTAAGACTAAATAAGAAGATCGTTTGCTTAGTTTTACCTGTGAGGGTGCGCAGGTAAACAACAAAACTTGAAAGCTAAAGCAAAAACCATTGTTGGTATGGAATTTTAGTGATGGCCTGATGGGGAATTGGGACCTTCTTTTGTCGAATCTCCTTTTTGTACTGTGCGAATTAAAGTATATAATAGTGTTTTTCACCTTAAAGGTTAAAAGTTAAAACACGTTTCCGTGGGCACGTGGTAGCAATTTTAAGAGATTTTAATCTTTTTTTCCTAATAGCATATCCAATTATATTCTAAATTTTCTTTTGAAGTTAAGATACTTTAGTATACAGCTAAATTTGATTGATGTATGTCTTTCTAATATAGTTTATTTATTTTTAAAAATATAAAATATTTGTCTTTTTTGTGAATAAAATATTTGTTTTAGAGAAACCTATAAGTTTAATAAAATATTCATGTATATGTTCTTTAAATTAGAATAATTTTATTGTAGACGTGTATATAAGTGTAATTATATTTTTTAAATAGAACTTTTACTCTATTAAAATAGAGTCATTATTTTTATCTACCGATACAAGTTGTCATTTAAAATTAGACCCCTTCTAGAATGTTACAAATAATATAAGTCATATCTAATCTATTAAAATATATACATTCTTTTTATCTACTGATACAAGTTGTCATTTAAAATTAGACCCCTTCTAGAATGTTACAAATAATATAAGTCATATCTAATCTATTAAAATAGATACATTCTTTTTATCTACTGATACAAGTTGTCATTTAAATTTGGACCCTTTCTAGAGTGTTACAAATAATATAAGTCTTATAATTGATTGAACCGCATTACTTAAATTAAACCAACACAATTAATGTAACATGGCGACGTTAATGTAAAGTATCTTCAAAATACGGCAGATATCCATGTATATACCAAAAACACATATTTTCTCCTACAAATATGGAATGTTCTAAAAAAAATATACATTATCAAAATATGGAATATGAAAATCTACTAATTATATTAAATTAAAATATCGAATTTGGAAATCTACTAATTATATTAATGTGGAAATCGTAATATACCATTTAGCATCTTCATGGAAATCTACTCTATTAAAATGGAGTCTTTCTTTTTATCTACTAATACAAATTGTCATTTAAATTTAGACTCTTTCTAGAGTGTTACAACAAGCCATATAGTTAATTGAATCACATTATTTGAATTAAACCGATGGTTATTTATGGGATATAATCTTGGGCTTACTTTTGTTTTTAGGACAAATTACATGGTTTGATTTTTAAGCTTACTATTAAAGAAAAACTCCAAAACATTGAATAAATTTTCTATCTTAATGGATCAAAAAATCAATTATTATTTTCAGGCCCAAATGTATTTAATATTTTTAACAAAACAAAATTGTCTATTATTAATCATTTATTTAAATCATGTACTTTAAAATATGTTATTGTATTTTTTATTTTAAATAACAATCATTTTTTTTGATAAATTTCAATGGTAACTTTTAAATAATTTATTTTTTTTATTTTTCTTAAATAATTTACTGATTTAAAAAAAAATGTAAAGCAAAACCAATTCTAAAAACTAAAACTCAAAACCAAAAGCTCAAAACGCATTGTTCTGGATAACATATTGTTATAGTTTTTTGCTTTTGTTTATTTACAAAATAAACTATTGCAATTTTTTTTAAAAAAAAATTGTCATCTTTTCAGTTTAAAATTAGATGTTCGATTATTTGAAATTGTTTGTTGGTAATATCAGTTCAAACTATCTCAGCGGATCTAAAAATTAAAAACCCAAACAAAAGCTGAAAAACAAAATAGAAACTTAAAAACTAAAAACCAAAATCTAAAAATAAAAACTGAAACTAAAAACTAATGAAAAAATCGTCACCACAAATTTTGGTAAACTGAATTTATACCAAAACATTCTTTAAATTAAGACATAACACAATTATATAAATTTTAGTTATAAAAAATTTCTGCGCTTTCAAGCGCAGGTCATAATCTAGTAATTGATTGAACCGTATTACTTAAATTAAACCAACACAATTAATATAAAGAGATGACCTTAATGTAAACTATCTTCAAAATACAGCAGATATCTATTTGTATACCGAAAACACATATTTTCTCCAACAAATATGGAATGTTCTAAAAGAATATATATCATCAAAATATGGAATATGGAAATCTACTAATTATACTTAAGTTAAACCATTGGATATTTATGGAATATAGTCTTGGGCTTACTTTTATTTTTGAACAAATTGTATAGTTTGGTTTTTGGGATTAATATTCAGAAAAAAACTCCAAAAACATTGAATAATCTTTTCACATTAAAAGATAAAAAAATCATTTATTATTTTCAGACCCAAAAGGTATTTAATATTTTTAACAAAAAAAAATTATCTATTATTAATCATTTATTTAAATCATGTACTTTAAAACATGTTAATACATTTTTTATTTTAAATAACAATCACTTTGTTTTGCTAAATTTCAATGGTAACTTTTAAATAATTTATTGTTTTATTTTTCTTCAATAATTTACTGATTAAAAAAATGTAAAGCAAAACCAAAAACCAAATCCAAAAACTAAAATCCAAAACCAAAAGCTGAAAACACATGTTATATTTTTTGCTTTGTTTATTTACAAAATAAACTATTTTTTTTTTTTTTTTTAAAATGGTTGTCATCTTTTCAGTTTTAAATTAGATGTTCAATTATCAAACATAAAAAAAAAAATTGTTGTCATCTTTTCAGTTTTAAATTAGATGTTCAATTATTTGACATTTGTTTGTTGGTAATATTAGTTCAAACTAACTCAACAGGTTTAAAAATTAAAAACCTAAACCAAAAACTGAAAATGAAAAGTAGAAACTTAAAAACTAAAAACGAAAAACAAAAATCTAAAAATAAAAACTGAAACTAAAAACTAATGAAAAACAATAATCATCACAAATTGTGGTGAACTAATTTTATATCAAAATATTATTTAAATTAAGAGAAAACCCAATTATATAAATTTTTATTCATAAAAAATTTCAGCGCTTTTCAATCGCGGGTAAAAATCTAGTTCTTTCTTAAAAGCAAATATTGAGATGGATCAGAGATAATGTAAAATAAGATAAACTATTTTACCTTGTTATCTGGCGGGAAATAGTGTGATTGAAAAAAGTGATATTGATATTGGGCCCAAGCCACTACACTATTGATATTGTTAAATTGGGCATTATTTTTATTTCTATTTTATTTGTTCATTATTCCATCATAAAGTTAGAAATGGAATAGGATTAAGCAAAAAATCCGAATCCTAACTGAACCGAATTTGATCCAAAAAATAATACCAAATCTGAACCAAAATTGGTTTAATATCTAAACGGATTCAAAATTTTGGTATCTGGAGAATCGAAACCGAATCCGATCTGAATCGAAATGCTTCAGATACCCAAATAGATCTGAATCAGATTTATATATTTGAATATATTAGTTATTTTTAGATGTTAATATCGAAAAGTATAAGATTTTTTGAGATTGTCCAAATATATTTGAAAATATATACAAAGCGTCAAAAGTAAATATTTAAAGTAGTTAAACAATACTCAAAACACTGTCAATACTTAAAAAAATCTATTGATTCTTCATCCAAATATTTAAGTTAAACCAAATTTTATGTTAATTAAGTTAAGGTATTTTGGCATATATATACATATATATTCAAATTTATACGTTATATATCATTTTATTTTTTTATTTTTTTTGAAATTTGAAGTATATATAGTTTAAAATTTTTTAAAAATAATTTAAACGGGTTATCCGAACTTGAACCGAATCCATAAAGATACGAACCGAACCCAAACCAAAATCTCTAATTCTGAAAACCCAAAACCTAAATAGATCTAAACCGAATGCGAATAGATATCCGAACGTTTACCTGTTTAATTGAGTGTGATTGAAGAATTTTTATTCCATAATTATTTTTACTCTATTTTTTTTTTTTGATAACTCAGGTGTCCGGGGCTTATTTAGAGACCCGACTATCTCCCGAAGGAGTCTTGAAGACCAAACGGAAACCATGTTAAATCCGATGTGGCCGGGGCTCGAACTCGTGATGGCGGGCACCTCAGCCGAGGTTCCTTTACCACCAGACCACGAGGCCCGGTTATTTATTATTTTTTTTACTTTTTTTTTTTATTCTATTTTGAAATAGAATATGAAGTTTTACATTGGAGATCTCTTACAAGGTCTAAGATAGAAAATTGTTGCAAGGAATGAGGAAGGCCGTTGGATTTAATTAGACCTGGTAATAAATACTAACCCCTTTGTAAATGTAATTTGATAGTCCCTACATATTCATTCACTTTTACGAGGTGATGTGAATCAGTTAAGAATCTTGGGAACAATCGTTTCTTTGATTAACGATTCAAATCTTCTCTATAAATTGCAATGTTCAATCACATTTCCAAAGTAGTCTCAGATCTCCAAATTCTTAAACAAAAGCCACACTAGAAAATGAGTGGAAAAAGCGGCAGCAGCGGCAGTGGAGTAGGAAAGAGCAGTGGTAGTGGAGGAGGAAAGAGCAGTGGCGGAGGTGGAGGAGGAGGAGGTTATATGGTAGCGCCAGGTTCAAAAGGCAGTGCTTACATCTCAAGAGGTGGATTTGAGAGTAACCCTCAAGTGTACTTTAGTAACTTGCATGGTAATGGACAGAACAAGAAGTGAATGTGTGTGTGTGTAGCTATTACAAGAAGCATGAATCGTCTTGTCTAACTAAATAAAATGCAATAAAAGTTTACATTAAGTATTGAATAAAATGATATTTTTATCTTTATAGTTTGCGTTATTGCTTAGTAATACAGTCATGAAATGAGAAAATATGTAAACATGGCGAACAAGATAATAGGCCCAATGGGCCCATAAACACCGCAAAAAAATAAGTATTTTGAAATGTCTTCTTTGAGTTTATTTATTTTTCTATAAGAATTATAGAAATAATAATATTTCCACAAAATGCACAAATCAGCAGCAAGAGAGAGCCAACCATTTGAGATAAGCTTTGCATTGGATCAGAAAAAGATGAAGAAGAAGGCGTTGCCCACAAGACCATAATCCCACGTGGCGCAAAAAACCAGATTTTTCCAGATTTTCTTTCCCTAAAAAAAAAAAAAAAACATCTTTGTTGAGACGAAGGAAGAGTGAAAAGAAAGATTGGAACTTTGGGTGTGTTTCTCTCACTAACCAACTCTTCTAGTGAGAGAAAGAAACTTGAATCTTTCTCTTTTCTTAATAGTATCAAAAAGATTCAGATTATGTCGACCACTTCCTTGTGTTGTTCATCAACAACCCAAGTCAATGGGTTTGGTCTTAGGCCTCAAAGGTCTCTCCTTTACCAACCAGCTTCCTTTTCTTTCTCCAGGTTAACTCCTTTTTTCATCTCTAGAGGATTTTATTATTTCAATGAATTGTATTGTGGATAAAGAATCAATCTTTTGCATTTAAACATGTTATCATCAAGTCACATTTTTTTAATTTGGTGTATATGTGGCAGGAGGAAAACTAATGGTGTTGTGAAGGCAACAGCTCGTGTTGATAAGTATTCGAAAAGTGATATCATTGTCTCTCCTTCTATTCTCTCTGCTAATTTCGCCAAATTAGGAGAGCAGGTTTTTTTTTGTCACACACTTTCTCTCTCTTTTTACTTCTCAGAGTTTAGTTTCTTGTTTGAGTGAGGTTTTTTTGTTTTAGGTGAAAGCAGTGGAGTGTGCAGGTTGTGATTGGATCCATGTTGATGTGATGGATGGTCGTTTTGTTCCTAACATCACTATTGGTCCTCTTGTGGTTGATGCTTTGCGTCCTGTTACTGATCTTCCCTTGGATGTTCATCTCGTAAAGCTCTCTCTCTATATATATATGGTTGGTTTATTGATGTTTTAAGTCACATTTTGATCTTTAAAGACTTTTCTGTAACCAGATGATAGTGGAACCGGATTTGAGGGTACCGGATTTTATCAAAGCAGGTGCTGATATAGTCAGTGTACATTGTGAGCAGTCATCCACCATCCATTTGCATCGCACTGTCAATCAAGTACTGATATTTTCTGGCTTTCTAAGTTTTTTTGCTTCTGGTGGAGTATGATTCTTACATTTAGTTTTACCTTGTGGTGATGTGATGTTTAGATCAAAAGCTTAGGTGCTAAAGCTGGAGTTGTCCTAAACCCTGGAACCCCATTGAGTGCTATAGAATATGTATTGGATGGTTAGTTTTTTTTCTTTCTCTATTCTAACTCTGCACTTGTTTGGGATGGGTGGGATTATAACTCATTGGAGTATGATTTGTTTCTGTAACCAGTGGTGGATCTGGTCTTGATAATGTCGGTGAACCCCGGGTTTGGTGGACAGAGCTTTATTGAAAGCCAAGTTAAAAAAATCTCTGATTTGAGAAGAATGTGTGTTGAAAAGGTATCAGACATAGTTACTTCTTCCAGAGTATAAGCTTATTGTCATTCTCTACTAATAAACTTTGTCTTGTATGTTTAGGGAGTAAACCCATGGATTGAAGTTGATGGTGGTGTCACTCCTAAGAATGCATACAAGGTGAAGCTCGGAAATTTCTTCAAAGTTTCATCTTTAACTCAAACTTTGCTTCTGTAGACACTCTTGTTGTCATAGAAAAATCTAGATTGTGAATCTTTTGTGAGTTGCAAATAGGTGATTGAGGCTGGAGCAAATGCTCTAGTAGCTGGATCAGCTGTATTTGGAGCTAAGGACTATGAAGAAGGTATAGACTTTAAAAGTTGTATAAACCTGCTCAGTTTTGTGGGACAATGATCTAATGTTTATTCTGTTTGTTTGTTTTAAAAATCTGCAGCTATAAAAGGAATCAAGAACAGCAAGAAGCCAGAAGCTGTGGCTGTGTAATCTGAAGACTCCTATTTCTGGAAAAGCTAAAAAGGTCAAAAGACGATCACCGAGATGTTTTACTCATGTGTGCCATTGTTTTGTAGATTTGGAGATATGCAGATTCCATACATTATGCAATTAAACACTGTTATAAGAAATAAGCTGTTACATATGTATTTTTGACTTTGGGAAAATTAGAGCATGTTCATTTGTCTTGCCCATTAAACTCAGTATAGAAAAATGAGACAATTTAGCTATATACAGTGATCACTCTGCCCACTCTTTGTAAAACAATATCCTTATATACAAACACAAGTAGAGCTTGCGACTGAACCAAAAAGTACTGTTCTGTTCGTAAAGACCAACACAGTACTGTGCTGTTCCTACAGTGGAACACACGTCTCTGCATATCTTTCAAATTTTGTGTCCATCCGAGCAAAAGACAAGGCTTTCAAGTTATTTAACACACGTCTCTTTTTACCTTTCCATGAGTTGATCTTACATTGTTAAAACAGACAAGGGAAGAAAGGAAAAATAAAATTCAAGGAAAATTGCTGGAAGAAGAAGAAAGGTATATACATAACTCACAGAATGTGAGTGAACATGATCAAACACATCTTATGTTTATCAACGAACTAAACCACACCTAGATAGTGATTATCAATGCCCTGCCAAAGTTTGAGCCACATGAGTACATATCCAATGGTTTTGCGCAGTAGCAGGCATCATTCTTTCTGTGTCAATGGATCATCATCAACAAATATGTTTTAAGTTCTCCATGTTTCTCAAGTTCCAAGAGCATCATCCTGAGGAGATGAGTCCCGATTCTCCTCTTCTTCTTCATCCTCCTCTTCCTCGTCATCATAGTCAGCAGAGTCAGGCTCAGGCTGCCCGTTCAAGTCAACATTTACGCCGTTCATTTTCCTAACAAACTGACCCTTAACACGTGGTCTCCTCTCAGCAAGGCGCTTCCTATTCACATACCTAATCTTCTTGTCAAAACACCTTTGGTTCCTTTTACGTCTAAATTTCAGCAAAGCTTCCTCTCTTCTGTCAAGTTTATTCACTCTCACCTCGTTAGGAGATGAGTTCCCCACCGGTGGCCAAGACTGATGATGATGGACCATAGGCATCTGACCATTCTGTAAAGGCATCTGACCATTCTGTAAAGGCACATGACCATTCTGTGACATTTGACTGTGCTGTAACGATGTGTTCATGGGGTGGTGATGATAATAAGGAAATCCTGTCATTCCATTCATATGAGGATGTTGATGAGCATAGTGAGGCATCATGGCTGCTGATTGCATCATAACTTGGTTCATGACACCATGCATATAGTAAGGATATGCATTGTGTGCAGCGAATCTTGAAGCATCAACTTGAGATGAATCTTTACTAGCAACCCTGGCATCATCCATGGCTCCTTCTTGGTAACAACTCCTACCACCATGAAGATCCATTGGTGGTGGAAGCGTGCGTGACCTGTCACCGGAACTTGGATCTTCTTGGTAACTCCTATGAAGTTCCATTGGTGGTGGAAGTGTGCGTGACCGCTCAAGGGAACTTGGATCTTCTTGGTGACTCCTACTATGAAGCTCCATTGGTGTTGGAAGCGTGCGTGAACGCTCAAGCGTGCCATTCACTAAGCTCTCTCCTTGAGCATAGTTTTTCTTAGTCTCTCTACCTCCTCTTGTTTGTTTGGCCTTGTTGATCACCTCACTTGCCACCACTTGACGCTTCTCCGCCACACCTGGATGAACTGAGCCATTTCCATTGACATGGGGAGGATCCTGAGAGTTAGTGCCAATGACAGTAGACTTGACATATGTGAAGAAGGCAGAGGACTCTCCAATCTTCAACCTACTTTTCTTTGGCACTGAAGAAAATTGCCCTGCAAAAACCGTAGCCATAAGCTAAAAACTTTGGAGGTTCACTATTAGAAAGTGTTACATCAAAGCAATGCAATCACCTGGATTAGTATTTCTTTTGGTAGACTCATGGTGAGTCTCAGGAAGATGATTCAATGGAGGCTCTATGATAGCAACGGCAGGAGTTGACGTGGCTGTGCCATCAGCGCCATCTCCAGCACAAACAGAGCCAGTAGCAACAGGCCACTGCCAGCAAAAAGCATGGGCGCAAACTAAAGAAAATTAGCTCTTTGACCATTTTCAAAAGACTTGTAAAACTTTCATAATACTATCTCACCTCCTTTTCCTGATGGCTTAAAGTTGTTCCTCTCTGAGGGTTGGTGGATCTAATACTTCTGTCATCTGTGTCATCAGAGAAGAGTGTGGCACTGTTTGTGTTCGGATCACTTGGATCAGATCCCACCAGATCAAAATCATAGCTCATCATATTCTTCTCAGCAAGTCCTAGCTGCCAAAACAAACAAAAACACACGCTCAATCACATAAACATGAGGACTATGTGACATTAACATGGAATCTTCTTACCTGAAAACAATTGACAATTACCTAAACTTACAATAAATTAAACATCATTTAACTTGAAATATAAACACAGAGATTAAATATAAGGAGAAAGACATATGACTATCAAGAAATGCTCCTAAAACAGTTAGGCACATAGAGAGAGAAACAAACCATGCGTCTTCTTCTCCACATGTGAGTCCACAAGTTGAGAAGCTCATTGGTCCGGAGAGGCTTGACAAGGTAGTCAGCTGCGCCTAGCTTCAAGCACTTTACCACCACAGGGACCTCGTCTTGTCTCGACATCACTTAAATTTGAGAATATCATAAGATTGGTTATCATACAGCAAATGATCATGCCGTCATGTAAAACCTTGTTAGGTAATAGAACAGTTTAGAAATGGATCAGCAAAAAAAGGCTTACTAATGACAGGGATTCTCCGAAGATCTTTGTCACGTGTGATGTACCTAAGCATCTTCATACCCTTAGCCATTGGGAGATCAATCTCCGCTAGTATTATATCGATATCAGGTCCCTCTGCATTTAGTGCATCAATCACTTGCCTTGCTGATTTCACTGAGGTCACTACATTCCCCAAAACAAAAACATCCATCCACAATATTTATTTTACAAAGAGTAAAAAACTCAAATCCATCATACAGTTTTATAAATCATACCTTGATAAGAACACTGAGAAAGGAGGGTGAAAACCTCTCCCAAGCTATTAGGATCATTGTCACAAAGCAAAATCCTAACTCTGCTTCTATCAATAAACCCATCTCCTCCTCCTCCTCCTTTACACTCTCCGTTCAAATCCATGATCAGATTTACAAATATAAAACCCACCAAAAACCCACCAAAAATATCTAATCAAAGAAACTAACTTTCACTAACAAAAACTTAAAAAAAAAAGATTATACAAAAGATTAAAAAGACAAATAAAAACCCCAACAAGAGAAAGTGCTAAGATACTTCCATGGCCAAACCAGAAACTAGGGTTTCGGTACAGTGTCCCTACAAAGTTGCCTAATTTATCTATTCAAAGTCACTTCCTTTCACAACAACAACACAACAAAAATTACTCTTTTAATCTCCAAACCTAATCTTATAACCATCAAAACGTAAAAAAACTAAATCTAATAACCAAGAGATTAAAGATAAACACAAAAAAAGTCAAATTCTTTTTTTTTCTTCAAGATTGTAATGAAATCAAGAAACGATAGCAACTCAAAAAACAATCACCGGCGGTGAGATGAGGAGAGAGAGAGAGAAAAAAGGAGGAGTTTCCGACAAGAAGTGAGAAAAACACGAGAGAGAAACTTGTTTCTGTTTTGTCAAGCAGAGGTCAAATAATGAGAGATGCTGAGAAGGGAAAATGGACGATGGTAATCTGAGGCGTTGATGAGAGAATGGACGGCGGAGATTGGAAGTTTCTACGACTGTGCGCGTTTGTGAGACGCGCGGGGATATTTTTTTAGGACAGGGAGATGACGTGGAAGAAAAAAGCGCGGAGAATAATAAAGGAGAAAAAAGTGGTGTTGGATAGTTTGGTTGAGATAGAGAAAAGGCCACGTCACTTTCTGGAAAATATCATAAGATATTTTTTATGGTGGATACAGCCTAGATAAGATGCATCTCCATATCAATATCATTTATTATATTTTATTTGATTTTCCTGAAAAAATCTAAGATCAAACCAAAATACCAAATGGCTTTCCCATTTCTCGTCTTTGTTTTTTTGTCGTTTAATCAAATTCGAAACAAAAAGAGAAAACATGACTTCAATTTTATTTCGGTTAAGATGTAAAACGATGTATACAAATGATTTTTATCACATATACTCTTCAGACTACATGTCTACATTGAATGGTTTAATGAAACGCATTTAATATCTGGAGCATGGCACTCTTATCATGATTCATGTGCATATGATTTATACATTGTTATTCAATGAATTTCATAAAAGAGACGATCATATAAGTTGTGTGGGATAGACTTTTGCAACTTCAAGATGATATAAACTCATTCTTTGTTGCCAACTGTTCATCTATTCAGTGGCAACCCCGAGGAGAAACAGTACAAACATATGTTTACGGCCGCAAATAATATAGTTAAAATATCGATCATTTTTACATATTATTTTCAGCATGCCATATGGTTTAAACAGTGATTGTGTTGATGAGAGGTAAGTGGTCAAGTTGTTCTTCTTACACTTTAGTCAATTATTTTCATTCTAATAAGTTGTCGGCCCACAAAATTTATTGTACTTCTAGCTCACATAGTTGTAAACTAGGTTGCATGGAAACTCCGTTCAAGGTCCGTTTCCTATTTCGAAAACGTTTCGGAATCGGAATCTCTTGGAAACTCGAGAAAACTCTTTGTAAACATGTTTCTTGAAAAATTCATTTTGGAAACACGATGAAAACTTGTGTTTCTGATTTGAAAACTCGTGATTCTAATTTAGAAACTCGCAATTTTAATTAAAAACGCAAAAATAACTATTTGGCATTTGATGTTAATTATTAAATGTTTATTATTTTATATTTTAATATTATGTTTTGATATTCGTTATCATTTTAGTATAATGATTTGATTTGGAATGAAGTCACTCCATAGTTTTATCGAATGATAACATGTCTTACTTTTCTAGTTATTGATTATAATTTTAATAAAATATACAAAAAATACTTATTACTTAATATTTTATCTTAGATAAATAAAAAAAAAAAGAAAAAAAACTTACATGATGATTAATCATACATATATTATAGACGTTTCTAAATTGTTTCCATTTCTATTTTTTAAAAATCATGTTTTTTGAAACGTTTCGTTTCCACGTATCCGTTTTCAATTCCATGCAATCTTGGTTGTAAAACCGGCTCTTCATCTGTTTAAAAAATTTTAATCGGTATAAATATTATTCCAAAACTCAATCTATCTGATCATGTTTTCTTTAATTAAAAAAATACTATGTTTCTCATCCTAGTCTCATTCGCTAAAATAGTTGCACATATATATTCTAGCTCCTCGTGGTATAGATCAAGCTCAAGTTGTCAAATTATTTTGCAAAAAGCAAAACGTTTATATTTTTGAGGTGAAAGCCGTACAATCAACCAAATTCGTAACCATATTCAATATATCTGAGCAGTCGATCATAATCAGAATTGCTAAAATATATATATATATATATATCAAACAATTAAACAAAATATCGTCGCAAACAATCATTCCATCTCGGCTAAAACGGAAGGCGTTTGTTACACCACGACATACAAAAGATTTATCACCCATTTGGTCTTCAGAACTTCACCTTAAGTCACTAACCTTATTTTAGGTTTTTAAGACATTGTAAAACTATATTTAACACTTTATCTCAATTCTCAAATCACATAGTCTAATACAAGATTTGAAGTACTTTTAAAAACAACGGTATTGAATTGATATCGTTATTGATTTTCATAGTTTAGTGCATCTAGTTAATTACATCAGTGGTTTGAAGAAACAAATAATTTAGTTGTCATAATCATAAAGATAATATAAGTAGGCTAAACTTTTATAGTAAGTTGTCGACGTGCTAATAATATTCTTTTGTATTCACGACTGGCTCTATAAAGACTGCGAATCTGGCTAGCCCAAGTGGACCAATGCGGCATCAATAAAGCATAACATATATCAAAGTTAATTTATCCCAAGACACGTCTTGTACCGGTCCAACTTTCATTACGTTTTTGCCATCGGCCATTGACCAATTATATGATTTTAATTAGTCCAAAGTTATATGCGATTCCTTTATATGATTATCTACAAGAAGAAGATGTCGTGAAATTCGATTTTCCATAAGAATATAATATTTTAACCGGGCTTCGTAGCCTGGTGGTAAAGGAACCTCGGCTGAGGTGCCCGCCACCCGACTTCGAACCCCGGCCACCACATAATTTACATGCGGAGTTGGTGTGGCGCTCCAGACCACTTAGCGTAACCAGGGGCCCTTAAGTGGACGCTTAAAAATCCTGTCATGGCATGGGCTTAGGCCCGGTGGGCTAGTCGATC